TTAAGCTACGGTGTCATCCCTAAAAAGTTCAATTCTTTACCAAATGACCGGTAAAAGGCCAAACGAAGCCAATGACTTCTGATAACCTCGTTTAACATCTGAACAATACTATGATACTTTTATTGCACAACATCTGATTCAAATGGATGGTCTTGTGTCTATTCGGATAATATATTTTCTTGCATGCTTTCTACATCCCGCATCCTTCCGACTTTACGTTACCGAATGCTATGGTCGACCTGATCTGAAAAGTTACCAGTTTACACTAGGTGATCACACACAGGTGCCGGTGGATTCTCTAGACACAAAGCCACTCACAAATTTTAGTTTGGCGAGTCTACCTCAACTTGGAGCCGTATGACGACGGGCTTATTATACCCTCACGAACCATGTAGGCAGTGATAGCTCCTATCAGGTGAGGGCCAGTGCCATTTAGGGAACCAACCCCCTTTTTTGGCAATACAAATACTACCGCAGCGCTGAAGTCTGCGCTTCGAAACAAAACTGTGTATAGCTTTAGATGATAGTTGGGTTAAAGAACTGGTAACGCTGCTAACCTAAAACGAACTGGTAGCGCTGCTCACCAGCTAGGTCAGCATTTATGCCCCATTTCAGAAGCCACGCACCGTCTGACATTGCCACTACTTGGCCCGCGGCCATCAACATCAGCTGTCTATGCTGTGCCGCATAGCATCGCTGGCCTGCGGCAAAGTCTAACCGGCGAGATAACCAGCCGCGGGGAGGCCGCCGTTACGACGCTGACAGGTTCCCACGCGCGTGCGCTCGGGTAGAGGTCAGGGAGGAGCGCAAGAACGGCACAGGGCTGTCGACACCATAGCCATCCGCTCGCGATATGGCCGGAGTTGTCCAGTAGTTTCACTTTCCGGCACCCAGAAGCGTGGAAGCGCAGCGGTGCGGAGGAACAGCATCAAGTGTAGGCGAGAACGCGATGGTGTGAGAACGCGCAGCATATGGTGAGAACGAAATCTTACCGAATGAACTGCAGTTCACAAATCATGCCGCAATGCCCAGATCGCGTTCTGTGTTTTTCACCCCCCGGTCTTATCACTCGTTGGTGTTTTTTTTCATCTTGCTGTTTTGGGGACTCGATGGTAAATAAACTAAAAATACAACTGTTTTTGCGTTTCTTTTACCCTTATTGAAAACACCTTTGATCCCTAAGCCATGCCCATTCCGTTTCTTTCTCACCCAGTCCTATCCAAATGCGTCCTTAGATCCACTGTTCGCAGTGAATGCAACTCAAATCACGCAACTTAAATAACCCATGGATTGCAGTGCATTAAACGGTTTGATATGTGCTACAATCGCAGAGGAATTCTAACCCCGAATTTCTTCCTAGATGTGCTCTTTATCTCTCCGATAGAAACGCCCCCATTTCTAAAACACACAAAAGTTGTCAATACAAGTCTCCAATTTAATTTCGAACATTTGGTCTGTTGCCAGTTTACAGCTCCAACAACGTCTCGCGGGGGTCAGAGAGCAATTCTCTTTGCATCCTCATTGCCCGAAACGACCCCCGCAGGCCTTCGCTCCACCATCGGAAACACCGAGCCACGGTGAGGTCAACAAGGCGCCCGCACGGCAAAGAAACTGCCTGTGTAAGACGAAATTAAAACACGGTTCGGGCAGCTCCTAAACTCCAGTCAACGGTAAAATCAATGCAAAGTACACGCTAGTCAGGGGCATACTGAATCAGAGTGTAGTGTGACACGGCTAAGCAAAACTACACCCGCTATGGATGATGCATGGCACATGGCTTAACACTGAACACGAATCTAAATGGGGCTATGCGCCTCCTGAGATCCATTATAGCTTGTTGTTGTGAGAGATGCTCCATACAGTGTCTTCGGGGAGAAATGATAGCTCGAGGGACAAAGTGGATGGCGACGGAGGGCGGTAAAAGTGTATCTTTGCCTAGTATTCTCTCGTGTGGCAATAACTTAGCACAACTAAACTAGACGAGCGGTCATCTAGCTAAATGACTCGGATGTAATTGGCCGCAAGTGATCGCGTGTTAGGGATGCCACGTTTATCCCATCTACACAACCGTGATGACACGAGCAAAATATGCTGCCAGCACAGCTTGTCACACCTGCCTGGCTGGACTCAGGTGCACATTAAACCACACTGCTCATTCATATGAATTTCACCAGATGTAACGGTGGAACGGAAGTCGACTGAGCGCGCGGCATCATGGCGTTGCTCATGGCATGGCCGAGGCTTACGGGCAGTTTAACTCCTGCGGCAACGTCGGCATTATTCCGGGACGGGGAGGGGGAAGAGGGGGAGGGGGGGGGGGGGGGTAACAGCCCGTATTCAACGTTGGATATCAACTATGGCGTAGTAGGAACCTGGGCTTCCTAACAACAGATGCACTCTTGGGGTTGGTTTTGTTGAAAGGCCACCAGGCTCTCAGGATCTTATCTCAGGCTCGTTCGCTGCTTTTCGCTTCGTTTCAAGAGCCGATACGGGACGTGCCTCTGTGACGTGGCCTTCAGTGATTCTTCTGGGAGTTGTTGAGCCGATATTTGCTCGGGCTTGCCTCTAAAGACCTGATGGGTCGTCTCTTGGAACTTCAATGGGATGTCTGCAAAGCGGATACTGCCAGTCGTGGCAGTGCCAAAACCAGTTATGCCGTTCCAGATCCACAAAACTCACTGATAACCTTCACTTGAGTACGTTCGCGGTGGATGCGAAATCACGTTTGCTGCCCGCGCGGGTCTGAAATGACAATGTGTCTGCCAAACTACCATTGTAATGATCAAGCGCCTCCATCGAAATTGTTCAAACGCGGCTGTTGCAGAAGAATGCTACGGGAAAGCGGTCCCAATACACCAACTGGCCGACGGATTGCTAGAGAGGTGATGGACCGCCGCAGCAAAGTTCCGTCTCAGCGCTGGCAGTGGGATGGGAAGACAGGACCTCCACTGACAACGTGCTTTGCTGGAGGCCGCTGAGAATGAGTCCAGCCGCAAGACATCTCCTAGTTGAGTGGACAGCTACTAATAGTAGTGTAAAACTGGTGAGTTCAAACCAAACGTGTGCGAGGGAAGGCGATAGGGGATGGTCCACCCGCTTTCCACGCAAACTTGGCATTAGCGCTACGGTAACAGGCAAAAACAATTAAGTTTTTGAGGAATCTAGCCATATGCTTCGTAGGGCGTGTGCACACGCTCCTACGCCTTCAGAATCGATTTTAGTCAAGCGCCGTCTGTTGTGGAAGCAGCTACGTTTGTCTTACTTAAACGGTTGACCTGCTCATTTCCGTTTTCAGAGCCACGACTCCATTTTAAACTCGGAGAACATCTTTTGTGCAGGCAATAAGTTATGTCTGTTTCCTTCTCTAGCTTTAGGTCAACCTCTTTCCCGGATCATTAAGTTCAGGTTGATGAGAGGCTAGAGAAGCAAGATGAAAGATGACCTAAAGGACTTAAATATGCTATTTAATACTAGATAAATATAATTGGACGAGCAAAGCTTTTTCGATAAGCAATATCACGTTCTTCTGGATCTTTCTATTTCATTATGAGCTTAAGGTTGTTTCTATATCCCTCTGCATGTTGTTTAAGGGGGCTCTCCAGTTGAACGATCCAAGAATGACGCTACTTTATAAAGATGCTTCATAACAAATTAAAAAAAACAACTTCATATTGGATGTAGGATGCAAAAAGAAGACCTTTCACAGAGCAGTCGTTTTTTTTGTCCAGCATTTTGACACTCCACCACTTGACACCACCACTTGACACTTACATGTGCAATCATGCGTTGAGATTGCGAACACGCGCATGCGCGTGTAACCTACGTCTTGGCAAGACATGTCCCTCCAATATCTTAAAAAACCACCAGCTGAAAGGTTTTGGCGGATGATGTCTAAGCTCCATCGCTCGTATAAATCGAGGCAACAAAACCCATTATTCGTGTCAGATATTCATGGAATAAACACTTCCTGAAACGCTTCGAGAAACTGTGAAGCATTCAGGCATGAAAATGAATATGTGACTGGAGAGCCATGTCTAACACTGATGCGCACTATTTTTGGTCATCGAATGCGTTGACCCTGCAAAAATTGACATATTTTCAGAAAATTTAAGGGAACTTATGCTTCCAAAAACATTTTGTAGGCACAACATATCTTTAACATCTGGAATTAGGCAATTCTGCAATTGTGGGTGGACTGTAATACCGTTGCCTATAACCATGGTATGCTGGAAGTACCACTATTCTATGCTCACCCTCCCCCCTACGTCGTTTAAGGCCAAAACCTCGCTCAAGTATCACGGTGCCTACTACTGGCAAATATTAGATATCGAATGAATCGACAGGTTGTGCTAAAGTTTTAAACATTTTCAACTCACCAGCAATTTTCCAGTTCATACGATCTCTTTAAGGAACAACGTGGCGTCTCCTGACTAACTCATCCAGTAATGTTCAGACTTACGTCCGGAGTACATCTTCCCACGTTTAACCCATGTTATGCTGAGCTCTTCGCGAACCGAACCCATAAAGAGAGCGCGAACGGTCTCGCCAAGTCATCAGAGGTTCAAGTGTTATATAATCTCGAGAGATGTTTCTTCCGCTTTTTCATTTGTTCCTTTTGCCCTGTACTGGCTCCCTCTGCGCTCTCCCCACCGGTCCACAAAAAGTTGCATATGAAACGAGGTTGAGATGGAGTTCTTGTCACCATGCACAAGCTTGGTTGATGTTTTTTGTAAACGGGGAATTGAACAGAACAGACTTCGGTCGCCTCCATACATTAACTCAGATGCGCTGACGATACTGACAGCGACGGAATCGAAAAGCAACTGTCATATCGTATGCATGACTTGAATTGTCCACCAATCCGTTTCTGTGCCAGAAACATCCGCTAGTAAAGCGGTCGCAGCGTCCTAAATCCCACCATCGAAGCCAATTTCCAGGGCCCATGAGCCGCACAAGCGCCACGGCTCCAGTGCAACTGCGACGGAGTCGGCTGGCCGTACCTGTTGTGGTTCCTCTCGGCGACCGGTGACCTGAACTGACCCGACGTGACCTCTGGTGTGCGGGACGCGACTGGTGGCGCCCGGTCGGCCGGCGGCCACTATATACCTGACGTTATCGGCCGTGCCCGCGCTCCTCCCGCCCCCGCCCGACCGACCGCTCGCCAGCCCCCTGCGCACGCGCACATTCCAGACGCAGCCACGCGCAGGCCCCCCTTACGCACGCAAGCGTGCACATGTTTGCATACGCACACGGACACTAAGTCTTCTCACAAGGGTCGAATTGGCCAGTAGAGGAGCGGTCGTCCCAAATTATTATCAGGAAGAATCCAATTCGTCCTCCAAATGCAGCGAACGCATTATAGACATTGGTGTGTAAGCCAGGTAGTTTTCAATTACTCTAACCCCTCTCTGGGCCAACTCACATGTGATCAGGCACAAACCGCGCCGACTTCCGGCTCATATGAAAGCAAAAATATCAAATAAGACAAATTTCAAACATGACGACAAAAAACATAACAAATATTACAAATTCTGACAAATGCACCACATTTCAGATGACGATTATTCGCCCGGTGAGTAACGCCATAAGCGTTAGTCACCCGACTGTGTAACGTTGGTCACCCGAATGTGTAACGTTAGTCACCCGACTGTGTAACGTTAGTCATCCGGCTGTGTAACGTTAATCACCCGACCGTGTAACGTTAGTTACCCTATCGCATGTCCTATCTCTTGTCCGTTCGAGATTGAGCGTGCGAACATTATCACAAGCAACATTGTACGGGTAACGCACGCTTATAATTTTTTCTGTATGATAGACACCAGTGTCCGCTGACCTTTTGGCTATCCTTCATGGACCCGAATCATTAAAATCTTTCCACTTAGCCGTCAGAATTCCAGGTGGCCCTTATCAGCACCGTGCATTGGTTGCTAGGGCGTAAGGACCTGAACACTCGGGACGTTCGTGAGGTTAATATGATGTTGATGGCACTTGATGTTCGTGGTAGGTAGCCTTCCAACCTAATACTTGGCATGGGCCATACTAAACTTCCAGCTTAGCTGCCAGAATTTCGGGAAACCTTGAGAGAAGTATCTGGCGCTAGGATACGAAAGCTCAATGGGTCACTGCACCGTGGTTGTGGCAGTGTCTGCACAGTTCCGGATCATTTTCTGGATTCACGTCTCTGCCCTTGTTTGTTGGGCTTTGCTCACTTGTGACGTCAACACAGCTTCCACACGCCGTGTTTTGACAATACAAGCGATGTTTGCTTGACAGCATCGCTTAATCAATGCTTCGTGACGTAATGAAGGTCGCTTACTGTCAGCATCGTAATGCTAAGAACTCTGAATTCAAAACGTTTATAAACCAGAAGCTTATGAAGGGACTTTCTTGCTTACATCAAGAAAACAAGCTATGAAGACCAATGGAGGACAGCATTACACCTAATTACGGGGATTCTTAGTTTATCCAAGCTTTGGTCCGACCTATTTGAACTAAAACTGTCTTTAGCGACAGAGCTGATACGAACTTGATTTTAAAATTTCTGAGCACACGTGAAATGGAGTGGAGAAAGAAAAACACTGCAAACTTCAGGAGGCCAGCGCGACATTTCTACGGTTATTCCCGGAAACGTCACTGGGGACGGATATCTACCGCCGTCAGTGCAATGGTTGAGGTAAAAACAAATCCATTTATCCACAGCGAGAACTATATTCTCCATGGATTTGTGCCCCGTGGTGGATTCGGTCATGGTGAAGTCTAAGTCTGAAACAGCTACCCACATGTAGTTTGTGCTCCCAAGTTTTAAACTCTGAACTAAATGCATGTGATGTACATCGCTGTACCCTTACTCACACACTGGATCGAAAAGCTTCTCACATTACTCATATTAGAAGGGATATTAAGGGGGGGGGGAGGCGTCGGCAACAAAATGGCTCAGGTTCGATTGATTCTGCGTTCCCCATATCTGCGACGCTATTCGACGACTGGCAAAACGTACTTTGTTTGTCTCGCATTCTTCGTCGGTACAGTCCTGCACACCTGAATTCGAGCCATACCTCGCCCCGCAAAATCGTTCACCAGCGCGCTCCGGCGCGGGACTTCCCCGGCGCCTCGAAGCCAGGTACCGTGCTTCCAATCAGCACGATCTGTGGCAAGAAATTCTTTGCTGATCCCGTAAGCCTTCAGGCCGTTCCCTGACTTCACCGTGATGAAATTCGCGATAGTCCCCCTGGCTGGAACCGACCACACGGTAAGATCCAGTGGCACTTCCAGACTCTCCGAGGTGCTACACTGACTGGAAATGTTCCTGGAGTGTCGTGAGTTTCTGCCTCTTCACCCCGCACGGATCGTCCTCGTCGAAGAGCGACGACCGACCAGTTTTTCGCTGAGATGCCGGAGCTGATTGATGAACTTCTTGGAGGTCGCCTGCGACATTTCAGCATCCGAGTAGTTTCTCAAGCTCTACAGGGAGGCCAAGTCGTGCACGGGAGCTTAAACCGTTAACACGCGCTCGGGTGGGGTCAAACTGACCGCCCCAAAGGTTTTTCCCGAATGGTTTCCGAACGGCGCGGCACAGCAGCGCCAAATTTTGCATAGCTGTAGAAATTGAATAGCGAATCGTTTAGTATAAAAAATTTAGGTGCACCTTGTAAGATCGCTGACCTATGGCAGATCAAAATCAGGCCATGGTTTCAGCGATCTCTATTTCTAAAGAATCGCTCAATCTGATGCAACAACAGAATGTAAGACAAAAACGTATGCAGTAAAGTCTGGCGCTCATTCAGAATTTGTTGATAACAAGAGCCGCATTATACGTCTTCCACGGGCTTTTTAAATGTCAGAATAGGTCACTGACCCAAAACAACCCGGGTCAACGTTTTGTTTTTAGGAGCATACTGCCCAGCGTAATCTTTGTCGCTTATTCAGATGCAAAACTCAACTTGCTCTTGTATGATTTTGGTCAACCATGACCTTCAAGACGTCGAACAAGATCACTGACCTTCAATGGGCATGTGATATTTTGTTTTAATCTACGCTCGGGGCACATTGAAGACCAAACTAAAATTTGACCTTGTTTGACCTGAAGGTCATGACCTAGGAACCTCAAAATTTGACCAAAGTGAGTTCACGTACAGGTCAACACACCCGGTGAATGTCGTGACCCTAGCTCTCTTGGTCCCTGAGACCTCACGAGGAGACCAAATTGGCCCCCCCCCCCCCACCCGAGCAAGAAGTACCCAACCGGGTACCCGGGCGGGTGTTAATAGAGCGCATAGCCATGTCCTGAGGTAAAGAACAGCCGTGGTAAAGAAGAAGTGCTCAAATACTCCGGGGAGATCTGATTGCGAAGCAGACAGATTTGGCGCCATGTCTTGTATCCGATCTATATTGAAAAGTGGAGAGTACCTGGCTGGAGAAACATGCTAAGTCGCGTAGGCTTACAGCCGAAGGCGGTAATCACAACGTCCAAGGACTCACGACAATCACGGCGTGGCTGCACTTCGGCTGGCTGTTCGAGGAGAAGGCGCCGGCGCGTCCTTTGAAGAAGAGAAGCGTCTCGGCCACTGCCGGCTCCAGGTCTTGCGTATCATGAGTTCAAACTTGCTCCAGCCAGTAAAGCTCGGGGAAAGAATGCCGGGTTCGCTCCGCAACGTTTCTCTTCTGCAATATGCGCAATCACCTGCTTCAGCTTCTGTTGATCGCCAGCTCCGAGGAGCCTTGGCCGAGCGCCGAGCCGTAGCTGGTGGGAGGTTGATCTCAGAGCAACTCCCGTGTCTAGTCCAATCGGAATCTGCTGTCAGGCCAGTAGTGACAATGCTCTCCGGTCTCTTGCAGCGGCGCTTCGAAGGAGAATGTATGGCGAAAGCTCGCGGGTGGGCTGTTTGCATCCTCGACTGCCGATTGGCTGCGATGTTATGCGGTAAGCTCTCCACAACACATGCAGACTTGGTCGAAGACACTTGGTGAGGCTGCGTTGACCGGAACAGCTCGTCCTTGCGCGCGGGCCGACTCAAAATCGCGCAGCCTCCAGCTGCCCGCCCGCTCGGCGCGCTTGCCTGGCCAAGCCCGCAGGCAAAGCCGGGCGCCTCCGATCTATATGCAATCCGCTAAGCACGCGTAGCTGGGCACTCCAGTCTACACCTAACTCACTATGCACGTGTGGCTGGATGCTTCAATCTATACCGAACCCTCTATGCACGCGTGGCTGGGCGCTCCAGTCTATACCTAGCCCACTATGCACGTGTGGCTGGGCGCTCCAATCTATACCTAACTCACTATGCACGTGTGGCTGGGTGCTTCAATCTATACCTAACCCGCTATGCACGCGCGGCTGGGCGCTCAAATCTATACCTAACCCGCTACGCACGCGCGGCTGGGCGCTCCAATCTATACCTAACCCGCGCTGTACGTGTGGCTGGGCGCTCCAATCTATACCTAACCCGCTATGCACGCGTAGCTGGGCGCTCCAATCTATACCTAACCCACTATGTACGTGTGGCTGGGCGCTCCAATCTATACCTAACCCACTATGCATGCATGGGTACCATGCCAACCACCCGTTAGCCGGCGGCGGATGCCCGCGCACGCTAAACATATGCGGGTGACATATGTGATGTGGTAGAATTGAGATTGAAACAAAGCAGTGATTGGTTGAAAGTAACTTCAGTAGAGACAGGAAGCTTACTGGTGCTCCTAAGCAGTCTTACATTGTAACGAACTGTCATGACTTATCTGTCCAGTTCAACGGGTACAGGTCATGGATACGGGTATGGTTCAACGGGCATGGATTCAAAGCACACTTGCCACTTCAACTGCAGTTCTGCAAAATGTCGGTTACTGGCAGGTTTGAGTTATTCAATGCACGCGAACTCCGTTTCGAAACCCACGCGCCACGCGCCGTCTCCCATCCGATCGCCCTCATTATGTGTGGTGATCTCGCACGATAGATAATGTCTTACCTCCGCCCTCCCCCAGACAGCTGTCCTCAGCTCACCCGGGGTAAAGAATGTCGGGTAGAACCTTGTTCAGTTAACAAATCACAGCGTAAGGTTAGAAATCTACCAA